CCCCAAAACCCCAAAACCCCAAAACCCCAAAACCCCAACAACATTAGCATATGAAAAATAATTATAATATCTCAAATTTTCCAAAAATGGATGATATGCTTCAGAAAATGCAACACTACGAAAGCCAGCATCAAAAAAAGAAGGAGATGCGGAATACCCTTCTGAAAGTCCCAAAATCTAAAGGTATGCTTCCTCTTTTCTATTATATTCTTTTCATCATTGACTGTTATTCCTAGGCTCTGGCGTGAATAGAAGGATGGTACAGAACTTGCTAAGCAAAGACAATAATGTCTCAATCGCTGATAAATTGAATATGATGAGAGCTTATGATGATATGCGTAAGAGCAACAATAATGAGCTTGATCAAGCTATTCAAAGCCTTACTAATAATGCCAAGCCAGCTGCTAGCATGTTCAACAATAAGCACTACAGAGGCAAACGTCATGTACATATTCTTGCTAAACTTCAGATTATTAAAATTAGTGATAAAAAGAGATACAAACCTCCTGTACCAAAAGGAGGGAGTTCTTCTGTATTCAACAAAATTACAATCTTGAAAAAGAAAACACCAAAACAATTTCTTCTTCCTAACGTTCAGGATTTAATTTCAAGAAATTCGAATACTTCCAGCTCAAGCAAGGTAAAATTCTCTTAAGACTTTTTGGAAGAATTTTACTAACTTTATAGAATTCCTTGAACCCAAGCATTGCAAGTCTTCCCAAAACTGGTGATTTCTCTGACGAAGTATCCAATGAGCTAAGAAGGTTGAAGATGGGCTATAAATAAGCCATCTGCGTTTGGGAAATATAAGACTAGTGAAATACACTCATTAGATCCTTCACCAACATCGAGTTCAAAATGACAGTCAAGTCTCCCAGATCCAGATGAAAAGGGCAAGGCTATTCCTTCGTGGCTAAGAATCAAACAGAAGGGATTCAAGGGTACTAGCCTTGATAAATCCTCATGGATTAGGGCAGATAGTCTGTTTAAGGAAGCTATTAATGATAAGTGAGTACTTAAATACCTCCACAGTATTTTGTGGTATAATAATATTACTTGGTACTAATCCTAGTCTACAGGCGCCAAATGACACCTTATAAGAAAAACATTAGAAGACGAATTAAGAGAGCGATGATCCGTAAGTGGGTTTGGCCAAAGATCTCAAAATCATCAATAAATATAACTCCTTCCCAAAATTTTAGAATCTTGATTTCTTTAAAAGCTTATGAATATCTCCAATTCGTGCTGATAGAATTATTTAGATCGATCGACCAATTCCTTGGATGTTGGAATAAAACCCAAAAAATTGCCCTTTTGAAGGAATCATAAAACTCCTTCAAAGGAAAGAATTCTAACACAGAAGGTGACAATGAAAAGTATGGATGCCTCTCCATCAAAATCTCGGTTTCCAAGCATCACCAGTTTACAAAAATACAGCTAATTATTTACAATTTCTATATCTTGAGCCATCAAAGGGGTTTTGGGGTTTTGGGGTTTTGGGGG